CTTGTGGTAACATGCATGTTGACAGGTGATGGGACTTCAAGTTGCAAGTAGATATGAAACAAATAGTTTCGAATTGCTATTATCAAACATCACCCACAAATTACTGTTAAACAGGTCGGTTTTTTTTTTTTCGGTATGCTTTGAAAAAAAATTTTTTTTGGTATGCTTTAAAAAAAAATTTTTTTTAGAGTGTGCACTAAAATTTCTTGGGAAAACCAAGCTTTTAAAATAGATAGATTTCAGCATTCTTCTGTAAAATCTCACTTCTGTAGGTGTGAGGTATTTTCTTGTTTTTTAACGAACTGTCCAAGAATTTTATATATAAAAGTCAGTTCAAAAAAATATCCAGCATGTTGCAGGAAACACAGTATCACCTAGAAATCTCAAACCCTAATCCCTTCAAAGGACACATTGCCTAGTGACTTTGCCTTATGACGGAAACATCTCAGGGAGACTACTTAGAAATAGAATACAGCTCAGCAGTCAAATTCAGCGCAATATTCTCTCACGTTTTTCATCGAGCTCTTTCACTGACATTTTCAGCTGGGGGAAACTGTTCAAAAGAACCACACACACACACACACACAAAACAGTTGTGTTGGGAGCATATGCAGTCTGATGAACCAGAGGTCTGAAATGTTTGGCCAACAACATCAGATTCCAGTGTCAACAAATCCCTGTCTAAGGTTCTACAGCCCTATTATGGGGTGGGGGGGGGTGGGGGGGGGGGGGTGTAGACCTACTGGTTCCCTAACAAGCATGTCATAAGAGTCAAGTAATTAGAGGTTTCCTTTCAGTCAGAATACATTTGCCTGCGAGGCAGAGACCAAAAGTCTGCATACAAATAAGTCAGACATGAAAAATGGATATGTATGCAAACTCATGTTCTGGGATAAGACTAATGTACAGAAGTGGACGAACAACCAGAACTTTCCACCAGAGTTTACAGACAGTGAACATGAAGAAGATGTGAACAATGGAAGGGTGCACTGTCCTGATGGGGCTGTAGAGTTTCGGTTTCTTCACAGGGCTGGTTTATTTTCTTGATGAAACTGTCTGTCTGTTCCCCCCCCCCTCCTCTGGGGGCTACTTCCCGAAGGTTTAACCACCTTTTTTTCTGTTTCTAGCCAGGAATTGCCGATACAAATTCCCCATTTCTGGACCAGGAGTCTAAAAGTTCGACCACCCACCTACTGAGTGCTTAATGCAATACTGAGCTGTTGATTTCATGTGGAATGTTTTTTCAGTAGTGCCCATAACAGCTTTGTGTTGTCAGCTGCACCAAAATTGTGTTTACTTATGCATACTTGTGCATGTACAATACCACATTTTATAAGTGAATGCGTGCATCAACAGTAAGCTGCAATTCTGACAGCTGCCTTATGTATTGACTTTGTGTGTGCAATCTTCAGGATTTTGCCAGGACGTATGTGTTTTTCCTTAGTTTTCAAATAGGACAGTGAAAACATTTCTCTGTGACTTTCACCGGTACAGGACAGAGCAATTATAAGGTTACCTATCCGCAGTGAAATTGGAACTTTGACTAATAAGTATGACTAATGACTGACAACGTCTGCAACTTCATGAGCTGTATCCTGGATGGTAATCCAACAGGGAAAATCCCGAATGCCCTGCTCAACCTCCAAATTCATAACTCAGGGCACCTGTAATGCCATACAAGATTGGTGCAACCTGCAATACTGTTTGGGTAAGGATACTGACAAAGGGGCACCTGTAATGCCATACAAGATTGGTGCAACCTGCAATACTGTTTGGGGAAGGATACTGACAAATCTGCTCTTCTTCTACTGTGTCCTATGGCTGCCACCTGAAAGTTTGACATCCTAAAATTACAAAATCTAAATCTGGATGGCAAGCCAAAAGGGAAAATCCCAGATCCCCTGTTTAACCTCTGAAATATACACCAATAATGACTATACAAGACTGGTGTCACCTGCAGTCAGTGCGGGTAAGGATACTAACACACCTAGTCTTGTTCAGCTTCTTCGATGTTTTTATGCTTCCATGTTTTTCTTCTTCTATGTCTTTCTTCTTCCACGTTTTTCTTCTTCAGTATTGTCTCAACTGGAAAGTCTGAGACCATGAAATTATAAAATCTGAATCTGGACGATGGCAGACCAACAGGACAAGTCCCACATATTCCATTCAACTTCCTAAGAAGTTATAACTGGTGGCCTAACTTGCATTTCTGTGAAAGTAAAGATATCAACAAATCTGGTCCTAGCTTTGTCATCTCAGTTAACCCAACATAGGCCATTGACCTACATACACTGTTTCCTGCCCTTAATGTCCTAGAACCTTCCGGGCCCATATTGGGCTTATAAGCCACACCTCTGGCCTCACAATCAACTAGAGTTTTATGATGGATAAAAATAAAAAGAGGGGTGTCATCACTCGTGACGGACAACAACAAAAACACAATGTGGCATAGAGCAGCCCAAGCCATTAGGTTTCCATATTTAGGCTTATTGGTTGGCATTACAGTTTCAACATCGTACATCAAGCTTCAGACTTGATCAGGCTCACTCTATTATTAGAAGAAGAAAAAATGAGACCAGGGGACATTACCAACCTGCTAGATTCAGCCTTTCTTGATTTTAAATCTTCCTGTGACCTGTAGTTCTTATCTCCCTTAATGAGCCTGAAATTTATGGAAGCAATCTCAGGTAAAGTATGCAGGATCCTCCATAATACAGGAACAGCAAGCAGTAAAGTGAGGGATGTTTTCTCCCACCAGTAGCAGGCGGTAAAGTAACTGTTTCCCACCAGTAGCAAGCAGTTAAGTAAGGGATCTTTTTCCAACAATAGCAAGTAGTGAAGTAAGGGATCTTTATGAGCTAGTATTTAGCAGAAAAGAAAGGGATCTTTATGAGCTAGTATTTAGCAGAAAAGAAAGGGATCTTTATGAGCCAGTATTTAGCAGAAAAGTAAGAGATCTTTATGAGCCAGTATTTAGCAGAAAAGTAAGAGATCTTTATGAGCCAGTATTTAGCAGAAAAGAAAGGGATCTTTGTGAGCCAGTATTTAGCAGAAAAGAAAGGGATCTTTGTGAGCCAGTATTTAGCAGAAAAGTAAGGAATCTTTATGAGCCAGTATTTAGCAGAAAAGAAAGGGATCTTTATGAGCCAGTATTTAGCAGAAAAGAAAGGGATCTTTATGAGCCAGTATTTAGCAGAACAGTAAGGGATCTTTATGAGCCAGTATTTAGCAGAAAAGTAAGAGATCTTTATGAGCCAGTATTTAGCAGAAAAGAAAGGGATCTCTCCCTGCCTGTGAAGCACTGTGCATATGGTGCTGGACCCATATGTGTTTAAACAGACCAAGCAGCATTTAATGTGTGATGTGCTCAACACCCTGCCAACAACATTTACTTCCAAGGATATTTCCTGGGTCCCATTTTTGGCTGGGTTGACCTGAGAGTCAAAGTTAGTGATACACAAATCTGCTTCTATGTGAATTTAAACCCACTACCTTTATGCTGACAGGCAAGCATAGAGCCACATTTGCTTTGACAAGTTTTGTCTAGTGATTTACAGTTTTTATTTGCAAGAAATTTATATTCAATTACAAACGAACTTTAGTTTTCTGAAGAAAATATTCTGGTTTTATCTAATAAATGAGCTAATACTTTTTATTTTGCTAAAAAACCTGAGATAATGTCGAACACTATACAGCTTGGCAGGACAGTACTGAGTTTTGATAATTCTTTTATTTTATCAGGAAAACTTCTGACTCGTCTGAGAAAACATCATCTAGCGAGTCAGTCAATTCTTTGAAAAATATTGCTCTTATCACAACCAGCAAGAAAAAATTTGAACCATCTCCTGTTTCATGTATTTTCATGCCTCTGATATCTTTAATGTCTGTGTCCACCGCCACTACACTGATCGAGTCTGTGTCCACTGCCGCCACATTGATCGAGTCTGTGTCCACCGCCACCACATTGATCAAGTCTGTGTCCACGGCCACTACATTGATCGAGTCTGTGTTCACCGCCACTACATTGATCGAGTCTGTGTTCACCGCCACTACATTGATCGAGTCTGTGTTCACCGCCACTACATTGATCGAGTCTGTGTTCACCGCCACTACATTGATCGAGTCTGTGTTCACCGCCACTACATTGATCGAGTCTGTGTTCACCGCCACTACATTGATCGAGTCTGTGTTCACCGCCACCACATTGATCGAGTCTGTGTTTACCGCCACTACATTGATCGAGTCTGTGTTCACCGCCACTACATTGATCGAGTCTATGTTCACCGCCACTACACTGATTGAGTCTATGTTCACCGCCACTACATTGATCGAGTCTGTGTTCACCGCCACTACATTGATCGAGTCTGTGTTCACCGCCACTTTATTGATCGAGTCTGTGTTCACCGCCACTTTATTGATCGAGTCTGTGTTCACCGCCACTACATTAATCGAGTCTATGTTCACCGCCACTACATTGATCGAGTCTGTGTTCACCGCCACTACATTGATCGAGTCTGTGTTCACCGCCACTACATTGATCGACTTCTGTATTCAACTTCAGGAACCATGTTTAACACTGTTCTTTTTTTTTCTAAACCAATATCCCAATATCTGTTTGTTTTTTGGCCTTTACTGGCTCTGGCTATACGCTCTGGTGGAAAGTCCTGGTTGATCATCCACTTCTGGACTTTGGTTGTGTTCCAGTACTTAGTTTTTGTATGCACATAAATTTTACAGAGGCAGCTTATTTGTATGTGCACTGTTGTTTCCTCACCTCTTAGGCTGATACACTCTAAATCTGAAGGAAAAATCCATAATTAGTCACCTATTAAAACATACTTGTTAGGAAGGCAGAGGGTCCAACCCCCCCCCCCCCCCCCCCTCCCTCCACTCCCATCCACTCCCACCCCCCAGCCAAATGGAGCCCCAGAACAAATAGTATTGCAATAACTAATAATGTCAAACTGTTTACTTAGACAACAGCTTTCAAAATTACTTAGAGAGCATGACATTTCAAGGCCAGCAATAACACTAGCATATGAACAAGAGTTATGCCTCTTCTGTGAATGTTCTGCAGCAGAAATGAACTAAATAAAAAGTACTAACAATTAATACTGAATAAAAAATGAAACAAATTAACTGAACACAAGTACTAAAAATTATTACTGAAAGAAAGGAAACAACATAAACTGACACTCACACTTTGCTCATCTTCTTGGGTGTTGCTATGACTGGATCTTTATCTTTCTTGGAAATCATGTACTTGAAATCAAACTCTCCTTTGTTTTCAATGGAGAAAGTCCTGGTCTTTCTACTTCCCACAAGGAGAGCACCAAAGTTCATGTCATTGGCTGGAGCAATGACAAACCTGAAGATAGAACAACAAATATTTCATCAGTAGGAGAACTTTTACAAGATGACATGCAACACACACTTCCCAACAGCCTCTCTGGCAGCAGACCATATTTTGCCCTGATTTTAACAATAGTATGGAGTGTTTAGAAAGCATTGGAAAACATCATCATCATCAAGTACATCGCCAGCTGGCATAAGTATTCATGCATCTCCACAGATCTTGGTCTTTGGTGTTCTGGATCAACTCCACTGATGATATTCCACCATGCCACTGTCTTAGGCCATCCACTATTATTTATCTTAGTCTGCCTCTGCCTCTTCTACCAGTGATCTTTCTAGTCGTCACAGTATTTTCCAGTGCTCCTTTTCTCATCTGATGACCAAGGAACTTTGTTTATCTCCTTCTCACTGTCGTAAAACTGGCAAACTAATATACATGCTAAATCTGCCACCTACACCCCCTCCTGCTGCTGTTTCCTCTGATTTTGTCTCCCCATTTTACTACACATTTTCCTTTATTGCTTATTCTTCTTCGTTTCTTCCTTCTGCTTTTATTTATTCCTCTTTTACCTCATTTTTAACCATCTCCTGTCTCTTGCTACTACTACTTCTTTGTTTGCATCTCTGTTTTCCACTCCATTGTGTTTACTTATTGCCCTTGGAGGTTACAGAAAGTATATTATGTTTCAACCAAGTGGTAGAACATTTGAAACCTTAAAAAAATATATTGCACTAAAGAAGTTAATGATTGTTTCTAGAGAGAAGCAAATAACTGATTTCATCTCGGTTATAACTAAGGTAATCATGAAGTGGAAGGATGACTTGTTGTTTTGACCTTTGGCTATTTGTCGTCAAGTGTTTTGCTGTTACATAAGAGAATATGGCAGGTAGCTAGCCATTCTGCCAAGAGAGACTGAAACCTGTAGGATAAAACCTAGGGTAAAGAGACTGATCCTCTTAACCTGGCGACAGACTGATATTTGTGTTTATGTCAATTTATGGGTGCAGCGATGGCAAAATGGCTGCACTGGGCGGATTTGATTAAAAAAGAAAAAACTTGGTTCCCAGGTCGACCAAACCTAAACTGTGTACCAGGTAAAGTCCTAGGAAATAAAGGTGGCCGGCATAATGCTGACCAAAGCACCCATCAAGAGCTGATTGGTCTATTAGTATATGAATCTATTATCATATGCCAGATAGAGACACTGATGTGTGCAGAGACACTGATGTGTGCAGAGACACTGATGTGTGCAGAGACACTGATGTGTGCAGAGACACTGATGTGTGCAGAGACACTGATGTGTGCAGAGACACTGATGTGTGCAGAGACACTGATGTGTGCAGAGACACTGATGTGTGCAGAGACACTGATGTGTGCAGAGACACTGATGTGTGCAGAGACACTGATGTGTGCAGAGATACTGATGTGTGCAGAGACACTGATGTGTGCAGAGACACTGATGTGTGCAGAGACATTGCAGAGACACTGATGTGTGCAGAGACACTGATGTGTGCAGAGACACTGATGTGTGCAGAGACACTGATGTGTGCAGAGACACTGATGTGTGCAGAGACACTGATGTGTGCAGAGACACTGATGTGTGCAGAGACACTGATGTGTGCAGAGACACTGATGTGTGCAGAGACACTGATGTGTGCAGAGACACTGATGTGTGCAGAGACACTGATGTGTGCAGAGACACTGATGTGTGCAGAGACACTGATGTGTGCAGAGACACTGATGTGTGCAGAGACACTGATGTGTGCAGAGACACTGATGTGTGCAGAGACACTGATGTGTGCAGAGACACTGATGTGTGCAGAGACACTGATGTGTGCAGAGACACTGATGTGTGCAGAGACACACTGATGTGTGCAGAGACACTGATGTGTGCAGAGACACTGATGTGTGCAGAGACACTGATGTGTGCAGAGACACTGATGTGTGCAGAGACACTGATGTGTGCAGAGACACTGATGTGTGCAGAGACACTGATGTGTGCAGAGACACTGATGTGTGCAGAGACACTGATGTGTGCAGAGACACTGATGTGTGCAGAGACACTGATGTGTGCAGAGACACTGATGTGTGCAGAGACACTGATGTGTGCAGAGACACTGATGTGTGCAGAGACACTGATGTGTGCAGAGACACTGATGTGTGCAGAGACACTGATGTGTGCAGAGACACTGATGTGTGCAGAGACACTGATGTGTGCAAATATTGCTTTTCTTGTTTCTGTGACTATTTACATCAAACGAAACAGTTAAGTTTGTATCTGTGTGTTTTACTTTACACAACTAAACAGACAGGTTTATGTGTATACTGCTATGTGCACATGATGAGACAGTCAAATGAATTCATGCTTCTATGTATAACAAATTTAACATGACAAATAAAGCACATGTAAGAGTGAGTGAGCGAGTGCGAGAGAGAGAGAAGTGAGAGAGCAAGTGATAGAGAGAGGGGGGGGGGGGGGGTGAGAGAGCGAGTGAGAGAGAGAGAAGTGAGAGAGCAAGTGAAAGAGAGAGAGAGAGGGGGAGTGAGAGAGTGAGTGAGAGAGAAAGAAAGTGAGGGAGTGAGAGAGTGAGGGAGAGAGAAAGAGAGAGAGAGCGAGAACACACCTGATGGGACAAATACTGATAATGCACAGTGACTGACTTACTTGCTAAAGACAACTTTTGCAGACACTCGGACAGGGATACTGGCGATGGTCTCCCCCTTCTCCCCAAGGCTAGGTTCTATCACCTGGCATTTGAGAAGTGGCATGTCCTTGATGCTAATCTCTCGGGAGGATTTGAAGATCACCTGCACCTGTTGGTCATGTAAACTCTCATTATCTGTCATTAGAACATCTGAACTTTCAATATCTAATGCCTGTGATCTAGGACAAATGTGTTTTCAATGGCTTACCTCTCAGAACTTATACATCTTATTACAATAAAATCTCATTAACTCTTTCAGCTCTAATCACTTGCTACATTAACATCTAATATCCTAAACAGTTATTCTGAAAAGCATGAAATTCTTAGGTGCGAAAGAGTTTAACAGAGGCAGTATGGGACGGAAGTAGTTAAACTAATAACTCAAACACAAAAAGTTATTATAATGACTGGTAATATAGGACAACAACTACATTATGTTATCTTTGGAATGACCAAGAAATGTATGGTGTGTTGTTTGGAATGACCAAGAAATGTATGGTGAGTTGACTGGAATGACCAAGAAATGTATGGTGCGTTGACTGGAATGATCAAGAAATGTATGGTGCGTTGTCTGGAATGACCAAGAAATGTATGGTGCGTTGACTGAAATAACCTAGAAATGTATGGTGCGTTGACTGGAATGACCAAGAAATGTATGGTGTGTTGTTTGGAATGACCAAGAAATGTATGGTGCGTTGACTGGAATGACCAAGAAATGTATGGTGAGTTGTCTGGAATGACCAAGAGATGTATGGTGAGTTGTTTGGAATGACCAAGAGATGTATGGTGAGTTGTTTGGAATGACAAATAAATGTATGGTGAATTGTTTGGAATGACCAAGAGATGTATGGTGAGTTCTTTGGAATGACGAATAAATGTATGGTGCGATGTTTAGAATGACCAAGAAATGTATGGTTCATTGACTGGAATGACCAAGAAATGTATGGTGCGTTGACTGGAAAGACCAATAAATGTATGGTGCGTTGACTGGAATGACCAAGAAATGTATGGTGCACTGTTTAAAATGACCAAGAAATGTATGGTGCACTGTTTAAAATGACCAAGAATTGTATGGTGCACTGTTTAAAATGACCAAGAAATGTATGGTGCACTGTTTAAAATGACCAAGAATTATATGGTGCACTGTTTAAAATGACCAAGAAATGTATGGTGCACTGTTTAAAATGACCAAGAATTATATGGTGCACTGTTTAAAATGACCAAGAAATGTATGGTGCACTGTTTAAAATGCCAAGAAATGTATGGTGCACTGTTTAAAATGACAAAGAATTGTATGGTGCACTGTTTGGAATGACTGAGAAATTTATGATGCATTGTTTAGAATGACCAAGAAACAAATAGTGTATTAACACAAACTTGCTCAAGATGAACAGTCAGTTAACATGACTTAAATTTTGGTCATTACTCATTTATGCATTTATTTGCTTAAGGTAGACAACATTACAGCAAAAGGTAGATAACATTACAAGTGGGATGACAACAAAGAGTGTACAACCAAAACAAGAGTACAGAGCATGTTAGAGATCCCTTGCAGCCAACTTTAACTGTGGAGACAGCACCTGATTGATGATGATTAGCCCAAAGTTAGTACAATGTTTTTTTTAATTCATACTCTTTATTTCCTGTGAACCATTCTGCTATTCTACGATGTTTCTCTTTCCCAAGCTCACACAGGTCTAGCTGATGTCTGATTAAAGTCTATAAGTATCCTAGAAGTATATTTCTCCATCTTCATCAATTTTTCTCTGCCTACTTATTATGCTGTTCCTGTTTGATGTTCCCTCCAGAATTATGAATATGCCACTTCCTTTACTTGCTTGGAAAACAGATGCAAAGATAGACTTTTTCTTCACATTCACCGGCCGTGAACTCTGGCTGAAAGTTCCAGTTGTTCGTCCATTTCTAGACTTTTGTCTTGTTTCAGGATGTGAGCGCACAGCTGTTTCACAGATCTAGCTTATTTGTATGCAGATTGTTTGTCCTCACCTCTCATGCAGATATACACAGACTCTGAAGGAATTATAAGTAACTGATATTTGATTTTCAAGAAAACCAAACATTTATAAATGAAAATGAATTTCATATTTTTCGCAGCGTCCGTGGCTTAGGTGTTGCGAGTCCGACTCACAATTCCAAAGTACAGCAATCGATATCATGGTATGGGGCGTCATAGGTCGACTCAGCCTAAAATGGGTACCAGGATGTATGTCCTGGGGAAGTAAAGGTGACCGCTGTAATGCTGACCACATTACCCACCTAGTGCCGATTGGTCTGTAAAAATATGGGATGCTCTTTCCATTTGCCCGATGCGCCTAAAGGAGTGAAAAGGGATCTTTACTTACATATTTTTATTTACAACACAATAAATTCAGGTATGAACCTGCAGCTACTAGATTAAATAATTAAATGCATGCTTTTCCAGAGAACACACCATCACTGAATTGATCACAAAGTAATACTTAAAAAAAGTGCGGGGGGGGGGTGTTGTGTGTGAAGATTTACAACATTAAATTACATGTAATCCAAAATGGCAAATTCTAACCTGTGTTGGTTTATCGGCAGGGTTTAGTTTACCACTGTTGGGAACAACGTGGAATAGTGAAGCCAAATCTGTCTTCTTTTGGTTCACATTCTCCAAAACAAAGCTGAAATAAAGTTGACTGTCTTTGGTACAATTCAGATTTTTTTCTACTTCCTCAGTCTTTAAAAAAACAACTTAATTTTGTACAATATTAAATATCTGCATTGGGTCTGGTGCCCTATTTGGGGAAGGTATTGGGTCTGGTGCCCCATTTGGGGAAGGTATTGGGTCTGGTGCCCTATTTGGGGAAGGTATTGGGGTATTTTGGGGGAGGTATTGGTGCCCCTATTTGGGGGCGAAGGTATTGGGTCTGGTGCCCCATTTGGGAGAGGTATTGGGTCTGGTGCCCCATTTGGGGAAGGTACTGGGTCTGGTGCCCCATTTGGGGAAGGTATTGGGTCTGGTGCCCCATTTGGGAGAGGTATTGGGTCTGGTGCCCCATTTGGGGGAGGTATTGGGTCTGGTGCCCCATTTGGGGAAGGTGCCCCATTCTATTTGGGGAAGTTATTGGTTCACATTTGGGGGAGGTATTGGGTCTGGTGCCCCATTTGGGGAAGGTATTGGGTCTGGTGCCCCATTTGGGGAAGGTATTGGGTCTGGTGCCCTATTTGGGGAAGGTATTGGGTCTGGTGCCCCATTTGGGGGAGGTATTGGGTCTGGTGCCCCATTTGGGGGAGGTATTGGGTCTGGTGCCCCATTTGGGGGAGGTATTGGGTCTGGTGCCCCATTTGGGGAAGGTATTGGGTCTGGTGCCCCATTTGAGGGAGGTATTGGGTCTGGTGCCCCATTTGGGGGAGGTATTGGGTCTGGTGCCCCATTTGGGGAAGGTATTGGGTCTGGTGCCCCATTTGGGGGAGGGGGAGGACACTGCCCTACTGCCCCTTAACAAGCATTTCGCAGAAGACAACTATTTAAGGGTTTGTTGAAAGCGACTGCAGTATTGCAATGAGAGCTGGCATTTGCCTGTTCACACAGTGTTTATAGATTCCAATCCCCATCGAGACAGATTAAATAAACAAATTGACCTTTGCTCCCAGATTGACACAGCCCACCATGGGTACCAGAAAATGTTCTGGAATGTCAAGGCGGCCAGTCTGATACTAGCTTGTATCAGTCATTCAATGTTAATTAGTCTATAAAAAATATATGGAACAAATACCATACGCTACATCTCATGTTACAGAAATATGCCTTTTATTCTTCTTCTTCTTATGTGTGGCATTAGTAATCCTGTCTATGCACAACTCTTTATCTCTTATACTTTCAATCAGTTCTCACACAGATGATCTTTTATGGCATGATGTCAAACTGTCCAGCATCTTCTTTCTCGGTCTCCCTCTGCCTCTCTTTCCCTCCATCTTTCCTGCCATCACAATGAACTCCAGTTTTTCTTCTCATGGCACGTCCGAAGAACATAGATTATCTTCTTCTGATGTGGGAAATCAGTTCTCTTCTTTCAAGACATTTTCCTTACTAATTTTTTTTATCTGTCCAGGGTTTTGAGGCCCCACTGTGTGTGTGTGTGTGGGGGGGGGGGGGGGGGGGGTGGGGGGGGGGGGGTA